ATACCGTCCCGTCATTGGGTTGGGTACGAGGCACAACAGCCTTCTCCTTCCCATCGGTGCCCTCCGCAGCCATCGCTACCCCCTGCAACTCAAAATCATCATCGGAATCGTCCGCCAGCAGGAGACGGCGACGCCTAGCATCAGCCAGAGGGGCACAAACTGCCGGCGATGCAGCCCTGCCAGCCTGCCCAGGGGAGCTAGTCGGAATGTTTGCCCGAGGATCCCCAGCTCTCCTCCGGCTCAATCGGCGGCGGGGAGATTTTGCCACCACGTGATTCTGGCGGTTCTGCCCAGACGAAGCGCGCCAGTTGGTATTCCCCGCCCGAATCCTTGGGGATTTGGGCATTCGAAAACCCATGTTTGTGTTGCGTCGGGGATTAGTATCTTCCTGTCTCTGGCCTTCCGGCGGCGCGTTCAGGCTTGAAAGCTTCGAGCTTTCTTGCTGCCTGAGTTGACTCAGACGACGCACGTCGTGCTCCCCTGTCTGATCACTCAGGTGGTCATTCGACCCAGCGGGGAGATATTGCGGCCGAACAGCTCTATTCACCCACACCGTATTCCGGTTCCCACGAAATTGTTGGGGGTTGCTTTCTTCCTCGTATATCTGCTGTCCGAGTTTCTTAGTGACCATGTGCGGGCCAAAGTTCTCCTTCCGGGAGGGGGGATGAAAAGCACAATCCCGTTGAACATGCCCCACACGACCACAGTGGAAACAGAAACTCGGTAAGAACTCATAACGGAGATTGACCAAAAAACAGCCAATTTCTTCACTTGCCGCAAATAACTGGGATCTCAGCGGCTTAAAGAAATCCATCATCGCCTTAACTTTCACAAAGTACTCCACAGTTTCTTTATAGGCAAAACACCCGTCTCGAGAACCTGGCCAATCGTCGGGGATATCAATTTATGACCAAATTGCTTGGTACAAACATCTTCGCGAATTCCCCAGAGCTGGACACCAAAAGGGGCAATCGCCAGGGCATCGAACGTCGCCTTCGTGGTAGTCGGAGTCCAGGAACGTAAGCAGACAAGTCTATCACGGAGCACCCACGGACTACGTTTCAAGACCCACGTTTTGTCCTCTTCACTAGGCAGCACAAACTCCACCAAGCCATGCTTGACCACCAACACACGGATATGACCGCTTCCTTGCCAATGGGAATTGGCTGCCTCTCGTAGCTCCTCGATCGTGACAATGTTGTCCGCAAAGACGCGACCAAGCAACGACCGAGAGGCTCGGAATCGCACAGACTGGACCTCTCCCAAGGAGAATTGCACAACTTGGTCATCAGTGACATGCATCATCGTGGGCAGCTGCAAACAAACTTGGAACTCTAGGCCGCCGACGTCTCGCTGCAGTGGGTGGGAGTATGAATTGATTAACTCAGTAAGCAGTCTTTTCCATGGAGGGGATAGAGAAGCCAGGTCGGCTCCTTCCTTCTTATAGAAAAGATGAGGCTCCCCTCCCCCACCAGGAAGCGTAACCGACGCCTTCCTATTAACTAGAGTCCTATTAGGATTAGTCAGCTGGTTTATAGTCTTAGCTGGGCGAATATCCTGAAAAAAATAGAATTATTTTTTCCGCCTAATATTTCGAAAAATCTTCTAACGGGGGAAATCTTTGTAACCACCCGATCTTCTCTCTTCCGCCGTGTCCCGGATTTGATCACGGGTTTTCCACCGTCGGGAACAACAGCATCAGCTCAGGCCACCCCTCGCTGGAAGGAACACATCCAACCAGGAGAACTGTCGAAGTTTACCTTCGCGCTGCAGAGTCTTGGGAAGCACGGCCTGACGATCTGCAAGCAGACACGACCCGTGATCCTGGGCACTATCAGAGACAGTAGCCGCCACCGGAACTATACCTAGGGGAACCAACGATCACCCATCCATCTCCAGCGAAGATGGAAGGCGAAAAACCCATCCCACCTTCCGGGAAACCTTGGGTTTTTTTCTTTTGTGAATACACCGCCGATTCACTATCGTCACACTTTCGCTTTGTGCGAGTAGCTACAGATGTACGTTTGACCACACGCGGGACACGCTTAACTCCACGGTCCACATTCGTGATAGATTGATGGAGGAAACCACTCGAACCTGGGGCCATGGAAGCTTTCCCAGACCAAGGATTCCTATACAGGTGTTCATAGACACTTTGATTTGCCAAACAAGCATGGAAAATGGCCGCGATCACTGCGATCAGCAAGCTTCCAGCGCCGACGCATAACCTGAGGAGAGAGGACAGAGCGTCCCCCATTTTTTTTTTCCTGATTATTTTTTCAACGGTAGAATAGAGTTATTGTGTAATTATTTTGAATTGAGTTTATTATTATTTGATATCTATGTTAATTTTTTTTAACCAATGATAAATTAAAAAGTGAGCACGCGTATGTAGGAGAAAAACTAAATAAATGCACAAAATCTTGAAGTCTGTTGGTCAGTAACTGATACTAAATTTTGGATTGTTGATAACCCATCTATTAAGTAATAATATTTCATATTAATTAAGCACTAACTAATACATTCTTATCAATCTTTTATTTATTGCTTCTGTTCTTAATGCTCTCACCTGTCACTACGCCACCACATGAGCTGTTCATTAAGCATTCTAACAAATACTCGTTACACATTCGTTAAACATTCTAACAGCATTTTGTACACATTCTAAAAATATCTCTTACATATTTTAACAGTAAGCAATACACATTCTAACACTACTAATTATATATTATCACTAATATGTGATTAACAATGAACTAATAATTCAACCTAATACGAATACTAAAAAAAATCTTAGATCTCAAACACTACATGGTTAACAAAAATTGTCGTTGGAGCTTGGTCGGAGCGGTGTTGTATTGGTGAGAGAAGCGAGGAGAAGGTCTTGGGTGTTTGCGAGTGAGAAAGGAGGGGTGGCGTTTTATATAGCGGTGTTAGTCGGTGTGGTTTTGGTTTAACCGCACCGAAATATCGGTTAACCGCAACCAAAATTGTCCCAAGATCACTAACCGAAACCGACTGAGACTTCGCTTAACCGAAAACCGCAAACATCGGTTTCGGTTTTCCCTTGCGGTTAACCGAAATCGCAGTTTCTGGTTCACTTTTTCGATTTTCGTTCTAGAAACCGACCACCCAAAACCGAATTTCAACCACCTTTTTTAATGATTCACCCTCAATTTTAAGTGACCTGCTTTTGTTTCAGCCTCTATAATCACACACCATAAAGTCATCTAAATCAATTGAACATAAAGCCTAAAGCAACCACACAATTCAACCACAACTCCACAACATAAAGTCTACATGCCCACAATTCAACCACAAGTCACAATCACAACAAGACACAAATAACAAGTTCATCATCTCCAAATCATCAACCTAAATGATCCGAGGATCTCGCTCCAATTCATCTAGCCCATAGTCATCATGTACTCCAAGATCTTCATCTAGCCCATAGTCATCAACCTAAGGTTCACTCTATCGAGTGCAAAGGGGATTTAGAGAGGGGTGACTTTCGAGTTCTAACTCTTAAAAACATTTGAGACTCTTGATGGAGGGTTGTTTGCAATAGGTGAGAATTGGGATGTTTGGAATTGCAACTTTGATTGGTTTTGAATCTTACAACTTTTTCCCTTAGCCAAAGTAAAAAACCATGTAGTCACTAGGGCTGGCTATTTGGTCCCAGACTGTTTGGTTTTACCCGAAACCGGACCGTATAACCCGGACCGAGACCGGACTGGGACCGGATAGCAAACAATGCAATCTCATATTCGGGCTTAGATTTGAGGTAAAAAACCGGATAAAGACCGGATAAGAGACCCCCAACACCTAAAATCAAGATAAAATTGGGACCGGACTGGATCAAGACCGGACTGTATCCAATCCAATCTTTGGTCCTTATAGCCACCCCTAGTAGTCACACTAGTAGGCGGTTATCGGTTTTCTTATCGGTTAACCGCTAACCGATTAATCGGTTAGCGATTAACCACTAACCAAAATACTACTAACTGAAACCGAAATCAATAAGGAAGTAGCGGTTATCGGTTAACCACTAACCGACTTTATCGGTTCGGTTATCGTTTAAAACCGATAACCGACTAACCGTTTATCACCCCTAGTTTTATATGTACCAAAGACTAAGAGGGGGGCGGGAATGTCAACAATCCGATAAAACCTTCGCTCTGATTTACGAGAGAGCGTGACATGAATTCCCTTTTATCATGCCTGCGTAGTAAATTAAGGGGCCGTTTGGAAGTTGCGAATATTAAATCGTTGCATTGTAATGAATCACCATAATATAAATGCATGTATTAATACAATGGATGCATTTTAACAATACATTGTTTGGTTGTTGAGATTATACTTTATGCATTGATTTACATAAAGTTACTTTTATGGGGAAATGTCATATTTACACTCAACTTTTAGTATAAGACAAAAACTATTAGGGATATAAATGAAAATAAAAAGTTGACACAAATCTAAAAGAAACAATCACAACTTTTAGTAAAGATTGTATAATGCATCATTTTTTGTGATTGTTGGTGGGACCTACTTAAAACAATGCATGACACTTCCAAACATTGTATTGTACATAATACATGTATTCAACAAACACAACTCTAACAATCACAACTTCCAAACAACCTCTAAATATAGCCTTTCAATTATCGATCTATATCTCCATACAGCAGGTACGGTCCGCGTCCTTATCCTTCGACCAATCGACAATTAGGATCCCCGTCTATCATCCTCGTCCAACCAATACCTACCACGCGCATCTTAACGAGAGAACCATATGTCGCCATTTGATTGGTGATATTTGCTAAATTGCTTGATCGAGTCAAGATATACTTATATCGCTTGTTTGATTAGGGATAGTTATCCGCACCTAGCGCCAAGTTAACAAAAAGAAGTTTGTTTATTAGTTTTCCTATGCAGGTAGATTGAGAAATAATTGCAGGCGGGGTAGCATTACTATCGGAAAATAAAATAAAAAAAAGAAAACATTTATTTATTTATTATTGGAAATGGAAAACAATCCTAGGTGTATGATTATGTATGAAGATTAATTCTGGCAAGTAGAAGAGTAGCCAGGACCCCCAAAGTAAAAATGGACCTCCATATCAGAATCCCAATCCTTGAGGTCTATGTCGTAACAATTAGGCTTGGTTGCGTAGGGTGTTATTCCCTGAGCGTCTCTGACCTCCCGGCCACCATCAGATATATATTTCAAGTTCTTAAACCAAGCTGCTTTCCCATATCCTTCGCTTGGGAAGTGGCCGCTGCCCATTCCAGTACTTGTATGAAGCCCTCCTGGGTTTGAATTAACAATCTCGCCTCCCCACTCAAGCAAGCTGGCGGTTCCCTTTAGGCCGCCATTGAAGATGTCTGGCGGCCAGTATCCCACGTCTTGGCCTTGAACGTTGAACCACCAGTTTCCATTCTCATCATCCTGCCAAACACACAAAACGTACACCTTAATTAGCTAGCTAGCTACCACTACTACTTTTTTCTACCCAAGCTAAAATACGTCGCGCGTCGTTACCCTGTAGATTAGTATGCTGACGAACAGTTGCTTGCCACCATAAGTAGAAGCAGGGTCTAGGAAGGCCCCAAGCGCAATCTTGTGGTTAGTTTGAACGAAGCCAGGACAACCCATATTGTAACATCCTGTAGTCTTATAGTCATCCGCCTGCATGCATCTTGTGCAAATTTAATAATTGTGACAAGACATGATTAATTTCCTACAACCCAACATTCATTCAGAATGTACACTTAAAGACTTACGGTCCAGTATACGAAGAGGGTTGGATGATTGGTGTATGTCGAGACCTGCACTTTCGAAGAAAAACTGTGTCATTAATTCATTCACTGTAAAGTGTAAACCCAACTGCTGAAAGGAGGAGGGGAATTATTATTATAATTAATTACAAACCGTCCACCCAGCCTCAATGGTATCGATATCTTCGCCTTCGCCATCTGTAACCCATAACTGAGCTGCACTTTGCTCTTTTTCTTTCGTGTTTGGGTTCCATACATTAATATCACCCATTGCTCCATGGAAGCCCGATCCAGGAAAAAACGCTGCAGCATACTGCAATAATTATATATGCCGAGATCAAATTTGACATCAATTTGATCCTATGTTATGTATGTATAATCAGAACAAGAGTCTTATGAGATCAAATTATTCATCAATTTTATCCTATGTATGTATAATCAGAACAAGATGCTTTTCCTACAACTCAAATTATTATTGGGAGCAATTGGTCCTAACCAGTTCTCCTTGAAAATTAATATGGATTGGAGGGTAATTATTAATTACAGTACAACATTAAAAAAATATATAACACTAATCTCAATCATCGTATCGTATCCACCCCACCCAATATATATAATCAACGAACCAGTTGTAGTAACTAATCTATACACATAACTAATGCTTTTCTGGAGGTACGCTTACGTGGAAAGGAATGACAGCAGGCAGGCACGTACGTACGTACCTCGGCTTTAGATCCGGCTGGCGTTACTGTGTTGGTCGAAAATGAGAAAGGATGTGCCTTCTTTTCGGGGAAATCACCCGCCAAAGATCTCACTCTCACAATTGGGATGCTTCCCTCGGGGCAATACTCTCCATTCTTGTGCCACTTTTGGAACTTCACCTCCTCTGAAGCAAATATGCTCCTTGGTTTGAGTCCAATTGGATATGAACTGGGTCGCATCTAAAAAGTAACTTTTCAATTTCTCCACCTTAACTTGATTGATTAAATTAAATATATGCGTATTCCAACGATCATAACTTACTTGAAGAGTGTGATTCGCCAGCCGTGGATGGCTAAAAGCCGGTTGTTTGTAGATATCCACACAATCAATGACTTCGCCGTCTACACTCTGCCATAACATAATTAATTATACGTGAGCTCACATATTCGGGTTTGATTGAAGGGTGTTTTACATGTATTTTGGAGGTCCTAGCTAAGATATATTGTGACTAAAATGAAATAAAAATGCTAACCTCAATAGTTTTCATTATGCTATTACGATCGAGCAACAAACTCTTTTTCGCCCAACCATTTTCGCCTAACGCAAGAAGTAGATATGATATTGACAGGATTACTATCGAACTCTTACACCTCATCATTTTGCGATATGGGGCTGGATGAAGAAACTACAAGTCAAATAAAAAAGTGTAAAGCATACCTCTTAAATATAAATCTCTTGAGTTAAGTATTTAGGTAAGTAAATTATAATGGCATAATATACAATGTTTTTGAAATTTTTATTCTTTGTATGACGAACAATTATGGGGAGTATTTATTTTTTTACTATTAGTTTAAGTGAAATAATGTATTTGGCCCATAACCACTCGAAAAAAGATTTTAGGTCTGTATCTAGTGATTTCCTACCAAAACTCTCTAAAAACATTCTTCCCCGCATTGATGAAAAAACAATGTCTTTAGTAATTCTCTAATGTATAGTGACACTTTTTTAGCATAAAATAAAAAAGGTAATATAGATTCTAATTTAACCATTTTCTCGAGAAAATAGACAATATTTATAGCAGGAAATATATATAAGATCATCATTCCTCATTTATTTTTTAATATATATTTGTTAAAATGTCTTGAATATCTGTTATCGGGTTTTTCCATATGTTAGCTTTTTTTAGTTTAGTAAGGTTTTGGGTTTTTGTTTAGGGTCAAGGTTTTATAAAGGACTAGTTTAGCCTGATGTAGTTTCTCAAAGCGGTAGTTTTTACAGAAGCACTTTTAAAAAAATCGGTTGATTGTTTGGTTGAAAAACTATAAAAAGTGTTTTTCAATATAATAAGTTATGTAAAATGATTATAAAAGATTTATAATATGAAAGTGCTTTTCAATTACCCTCCTAGCCATATCATGGGGCACCATCATTCTCCATACTTAGTCATATTTCACTCCATGGATTGCATCCCATGGGGGTCGTATGTTAGTGACCACCCTTGGTCATACCATGGGGGCACTATGTCGATCACCCCCATGCCACCAAATCATGGGGTGGCTCCAACATTTAGCCAATTTTTGGAACGAATGTTTAGAAAAGCGCTCATTATGGCATTGACATGGGTGTCATGGGTAAAAAAATCCAATCCACGTAACTCATCTTAAGGGTAAATAATAAGCTCAGTCTCACAGTCATTAGTGTGCTTGAGGTTTTTGTCGGTTGTCCAGTTCACTTCGGCATCACTATGCTCAACAATATGAAATGAAGAAACTTCGAAAGTGCACCTTGTATCCATCTCGATTTCAGTTGTCTATGTCAATAACCTTATGGCATTCAGAAATGCAATATTCACGTCGTAATCATGACTTAAGCTCTTATTGTTGGCACTTGAATGTTGAAATATGGAAACTCTCATTGCACCTTAGAGAGAGCTCAGAAATCAAAGGGATTTAACAGATTGGAGTTGCGGCTTACCTCTTGTGGCAACCATTCAATTTCAACGGTAGGATGCTGCAACGGTAGGATGGCCTGGCCTAGCCTATATATTTCTCCAAGCAAGAAGACCTCGGGCATCTTTGTAAGGGTGGTAAAGGGTTGTTTACAAAGAGGTTTAATCAGAACAGAGGAAGAGGATCTGTTTGATTAACGGTGTAACGGGTCTGGGATTGGGATCCGGGTTATTAGTCTGTTTTGATTTTGATTTCGTTCTTATTGTGTTTTGAGTCTGCATCTTTCAATTCATTGCTTGATAGGAAAAATCAAATAAAACAGAGTCTCCTAGATCTCGGTGTGTTTTGAGTCTAGGACGATGACAGACCAGTAGTTTGGGAACCTCGTTAAAAATCTCGTGTGCACTCTTTGCTTCTTTGCTTCCTCTCTATGGTTTCCCTTGTCGCTTGCTCTGTTCTGGAAATCTTCTCCTGTTTCTGAACCTTCTTCATCTCATCGGAGAAGACAGGTTACAGACTCTAAAGCTGTAGGCTTTACCAATTCGGGCCAGCAAGTGATTTTATTTGTTTGGGTTACTTTATTCTTTTCTTGCGGGCTTAGTTTAAGTCAGGCCCATAGTTTTAAAAGAAAGGAAAGAGATAAGAGTGATCAATCATCACTCGTCCTTATCTCCATTTCTCGATCTCCCTCTTTCCGTTTCTGATCGGTGCTCGACCTTCTGTTTTCTCAGTTATCTCTCTGATTAATAGTGGTATCAGAGCTGCTGCTTGATAGGAGCTAGCTGCTACCAAGTCAAAGATCCATGGCGTCATCATATTTTGGACATGGAGCATTGAATTCGCCTCCCAGCTTCACCGGAGGAAACTACATCGCCTGGAAAAAGCGAATGAAGACTTTCCTGTGGGGGATAGATGATGAACTGTGGCTTGTGGTGCAAAACAGCCCTCTCGAAATGGATGTCGAAAATCAGTTCGAGTGGAACGCAGCTCAAAAGAAGAGTGCCCAATTGAACCAGCGCGCGATGCATGTCCTCCAATCGGCAATGCTACCAGAAGAGGCGGACAAAGGGGAAAATTGCGATTCAGCCAAAGAAATCTGGAGTGCCCTACAAAAAACTTATGAAGGTACCTCAAATATTAAAGAAACTCGTATAGATCTTCTTCTACATGATTATGAAGCTTTTAATATGGCTTCTGGTGAAAGTATTCAGGATATGTATTCTAGGTTTACTGTTCTCATTAATAAGCTAAAAGGATTAGGTCGAGATTTTCAATCGAAGGATCTAAACAGAAAGATTGTTCGATCTCTTCCCAAAGAGTGGCTTCCTAAGCGTACTGCTATAGAAGAGGCGAAAGACTTAAATCCTTTGCCTATTGATGAGTTAATCGGGTCACTATTAAGTCATGAGCATGTGATTAGGCAAGTGTCTCAGGATGATGAAAAATGTAAAAAGAGTCTAGCATTCAAATCTAAAGTTGAGTATGATTCTGATGATGATCCTGCTAGTGATTTTGACAAAGAATTTGCTCTCGTTAGTAAAAAGTTTCATCGTATGTTACGATATAAGAACGATCAGAAACGTAGGTCTGATGAGTCCAGATTTATGACTAATGATCATTTTAAGAATGTTTCACAAGATAGGCTGCCTTACCAGCAGACCATAATTTTAGAAACAGGGCATTCAGAACGCGAGGGACAGGCTTGCTATAAGTGTGGAAAGCCTGGTCACATTCGAGCCAACTGTCCACAGACTCTCAAAGCAAAAGAGCGAGCCATGAAAGCATCCTGGAGTGATTACGAGTCAGATGCAGACGACGATCAAGAAGAAGAAATGACACTTATGGCAACTGAATCAAGCATTACTCAGTCAAATCTATCAGTTGAGGGTTCCTCTTTAGCTATCTGTGCTAACAAAGACTCTTTGTGGTACTTAGATAGTGGCTGTTCCCATCACATGTCTGGTAAGTGTGATCTTTTCTCTTCTCTGTCTTTGAAACGTGGAGGTAAGGTCATTTTTGGTGATGATAGTTCCGGAACTATTATTGGAACTGGAACCATTGGACAGCAGCCCTTACCTGTGATTCATAATGTTCTTCTTGTAGAAGGACTTAAGCACAATTTGCTCTCTATTAGTCAATTGTGTGGAAATGGGCATAGGGTTGTTTTTGAATCATCTCGCTGTCTTGTTGAACGCATTTCTGACAGTCAGATTATTTTTGTGGGTACTCGACAAAATAACATGTATATCATAGATATGCAAAACTTGGATGCGTTTAATGAATATTGCTTTGTAGTGTCCTTTCAACAGGAACTCCTATGGCATAGGAAACTCGGACACTTTAATTTACCAAAACTGGCCATTCTGTCGAGATTGAACCTGGTGCGAGGAATTCCTGTTATAAAAGATAAATCAAATTTTTTCTGTGAAACTTGTGTTTCTGGTAAGCATAGAAAAAATCTTTTAAATCTAAGACTGATGTCTCGACCAAGGCCATGTTTGAATTAGTTCATATGGACCTTTTCGGCCCTTGTACTGTCACCAGTCTAGGAGGTAAGAATTATGTGTTCGTTCTGGTCGATGACTACTCCAGATATACCAGGGTGTACTTTTTAGCTCAGAAGGATGAAACCTTAGCTAAATTCAAGACCTTATGTGCCTTATTTACCGGTCAAATTAAAACTGTTAAGAGTGACAATGGGGGTGAGTTTATTGTGGAAGATTTTGAAACCTTTTGCAATAATACTGGGATCTCTCACATTTTTTGAGATCCTCGTACTCCTCAGCAAAACGGAGTTGTTCAATGTAAGAATCGCACTCTTATTGAGTGTGCTCGAACGTTACTTCTTGAGTACAATTTACCAAAATATTTATGGGCTGCGGCTGTCAGCACAGCGTGCCATGTGATCTATCGTGTTCTTGTTCGTAAATCTTTAAATAAAACTCCTTATGAGAATTTCAAAAACAAGGTCCCCAATATTTCCTACTTTCACCCTTTTGGATGTCCTTGCTATGTGTTGAACACTGGTGATAACCTTGGGAAGTTCGATGCTAAATCTTATTTAGCCATCTTCTTAGGATATTCTGTTAAAGGACAAGCTTTTCAGGTATATAATAAGAGAACTCAGAAAGTTGAGGAGTCTGTGCATGTCATCTTCAATGACACAGATTCCTCTCCAGATTCTGGTTCTTCAGCTGTGTTATTTGACCTATCGGAATTACTTGGTAGACAGGAGGAGTCTGAGGAAGCAGATTCAACTCAAGTGCTGGAAGTCTCGGCTAACATCACTG